GTAACGAGAACATAGTAATGCTCATTGAGAAGCACTGGAATTAATTGCACCGATATCATTGTCACAATGCATAATGAACTCCAACAGACCAGGTAACTCGTAACGTATTTCAATTTAAACTAGAGGAGCATGTATCGATATTTAATGGTTTAATAAACATTTAAATGAAGTCGTAGGCTGGGACAGTTTATGGCGCATAACAAATTTTCTATGTGAGTCTATCTATGTGACAGGGACTGTTTGTGGTTCATGTGCATACTGTCTTCCAAATATACTGAAATAGATTAAACTCGATATGTCATATTGCATGCATGGCTAAAGGAAGGTTTGAAATTATGGAATACAGTGGCATCGAACATTTCAATAAATGCCATACCAAATACTGGAATGTAGACTTTAAATTCCAGAAAACAAACACTTTCTATTAATTTACCATCTTGTAGTGGTGGGGGGATCATTTAGCTATGTATGGTCATGGTCTGCAGGGGTTCGAATCCAAGATACACCATCACCAGACTTTTATGTCATATCTAACGACGCTAAACCAAATCCACTCTCACTACTGAAGTATATATGTTTGTTTGTATGTTTTCTTTTTTGTTTTGTTTTATTTTTTTGTTGTTTGTTTGTTTTTTTTTGTTTTTTTTTTTTTTTTTAGTTGTTGTATGTTTGTTTGTTGTTGTTGGTTTTTTTTGGGGTTTTTTGTTTTGGGGGTTATTTTATTTTCAATATTTTCTTTTTTTGGGGGGGAGGGTTGTTTATACTGAGGTCAGTGTTAATGTAGTGGACTATCATCAGGGGGAAATGCAAGCAGTCCGCATGGTGACACATGATGTGATCACATGAATGGTGTACTCGTGTTCAACGGGGCTCCATCAACATGTAATATACAGAACAGTCACCGCCATTGATTTTTGTACAGTTTAGACCCATGTAACAACCGCATTACGAGTTAACCGTTGCATCACAACGTTCAAACAGCCGTTGGCTTTGATGTCGGTACAATTGCGTTTGACATTTTAAACTGACAAATGTCAAACATGTTATGGCTGACAAAACATGACTTGATTGATTATACACCAATTGACCTGATCCCAAAATAACAGGCCCAAACAAACACGGGTAATGGCTGGCTTGTAACATTTCTTGGCGAGGCCGCTGGTCAGGTACCGACTGAGAACGGCCGTGGAGCAGGTGGGTGTAACTGACGGGAGGAAACAATGTAGAACTGACAGACATAAAGACGACCGACAGTCAGACATGCAGATCAGAAACTTTGTTGACAGATGTTACAGAAGTAAATCGTTACACAAGGATAGAATGTTGGCTATGTTGCCGGTCTCGTCGGGTTGTATAAACGTGATATATAGATACTGGATTCTCCTTAGAACTGACTCGGAAGAAAAACGAAGTTAAAATGTTTTATCCGAGCTCTGCCTTATCTCAGGCCAGCTGTTATAGACAATCAACGTAGAATTAAACCAACTCATGTTCCGTGTACTGTAAAGCCCACGCAGGTAATAACTGTCAGTGGTAATGATTGCTCTTAGGTATAGGACAGAAAGGGCGGATACCCAGAGGATGAGTACGTTGTTCTTCATGACCATCCGGCTGGGCATTGATGTAATTGTTTTGAACAGTATATTATGTACTACACATTGAAGCTACACAAACACCGGTAAATGTGTGGTTGCCTATGCAGTTTGAAATAACCAATGCTCATATGTGGAGTTTGCTCTTTTAAGTATTAACAATTTTACTGTTCATACCTATTGAAGTAGCAAAATGATTACTGGTGTTGTTGAAACCTCATTGAAGGATGTACTTTGTACTTTGTATGTAGACCACATCTGATTCAAGTCATATGCAACATCAAAGGAAATCCTCTTGATACAGTTATACATTATTAAGTGAATAAAGAATTTGGAGCTTAAATCATTGACAAACTGCCGGGCCCTGCTCTGTTTCGATTTGTTAGTGACTGAGCGCTCTCTTTTCATGTGTAAAACTGCCCAATGCTAATAAAATATTGATACCTGCGTTGCCGTAACGGGTTTCGTATTCACATGCAATCCGGATGGTGACTCACTGCGGAAGACAACTCAACGGGGTGGGATGGCAGTCACAGCACTGACAGTGTTAACTGTACTGGTGAATAATCATATCTGGGTGATCACATCATGTGTCACCAATGAATCCCCCCAACCCCCACCCCCGATGATAGTCCAGTACATTAACGATATCCACAGTGTAAACACTCCCTCACCACCATAAATAACATATTTATTTTTTCTAAACTCACACTTTCCGACAAATCATTGGGCTGCTTCATGATGAATCATGTCACATAAATGTGAAGGTCGATAGAGCTCATTATATTCATGTTATGCATCAATGTAGAACGCAACCTATATAAAATTGTTAATGTTTTTAAATTCGGTGCAAATAACGCCCTCTAGTCACCAGAAGCATGTCCTTGTTGACTGTTACTGTGACAGACATTGACATTATGACATTATGACATTACTCTATACCCATTTCTCCTTATGACTGGAACAATCATGAATCAGAACTGCCTTATTGTAGTCAGCGACTTTGATGAATCTTATTTAATTCTGTTACGAACGTGTTATAAGCTCGGTTACATGAATGCACGTGTTATCATCCATCTAACAGTCCGATGTCCTCATGTTCTTCCTGGTCCTAAGTATCAAACACATTGTTGTTAGGATAAAGTGGAAACGAAACAGTTAACATTAAGTATTTTACGGACAGATTCTATAAAATAGGCATTGTGAAAACTCAAACGGATTAGCGTCTATATACACAAAGAACCTAATTAAGCACCTCCTGTGTTTTTGCAATGATAGGTGTTCAACACGTACATAAACCTTTTCGTGGTGACCACGATGGAAAATCCATGAGTTTTTCTGACCCGTATGATCCTTTGACTCATAAAAAACGACAAATTATTGGAATCCATGTTGATTTTATGATGATAATTGCTCATTTAAAAACAACAAACCCAAACCAATCTGATTTTCATACAAAAGCATGTCTGTACAAGTATGGCCCTGGAATGTTTAACGTTGAATTTATTGGTGAATGTGAACGTCAATATCGTGTGTAACCTACATGTGACTGTATACCCTCTGTCAGTCTCCTGATCCTCTGAAGGGGCAGTCTATGCCATTCTTCTTGTAAAGCAACTTCAATTGGGCCAGGTTCTGTACAGGAGGATCCCTTTGATGCACGCGACGACCAATCCTGTCCCAGATATGCCTCAAAGGGTTCAGATCCGGGCTCATTCAATCGTGAGAGATGTCAGGGGGTGCTTCACTAACTTATTTGTGTATATATCCACTAGTGTAAACGTACCTTGACTCACTGACCAGTGGCATGTTGCGGACACGCAAGCCAGGTGTCCAAGATCAACTTCAGGTGCCCGGAGAATCAGCTCCAGGTGTCCGGAGAATCAGCTCCAGGTGTCCGGAGATTGAACTCCAAGTGGGCACGAGAGGAGAAACAATCGGATTAACATGAAGCACGTTGTCATGTCCTGGCGAAATAACATACGTAGTGGTGTTGTTTGGAGGGGGTGCTCCTGTGTCTGAAGTACGGGAACGGAGGTAATCAGGAACCGGACTCTCGATACACCACACAATTGGTCCGTGTGTAGGTGAATACAACTTCAAAGTGTCTGCTGTTCCATGTTTGAACTTATTGAATATGGACAAAGGGCATGAAGAAGACAGACATGAACATGTTAATCAATATCATTTGTAGTACATTTTACACGAGTAATGTAGACAAGCGAAGTCAACAAAAACTGGTATGTTATGTCTTTTAGCAGTGACAGGGAAACTATCTTTGATGTGTTGTGTTCTACGGAGTTATTTGTAAATATTTTAGTACAATGTTTTACAATGTTGCCTATTAGGATTCATAGGGGAGAGTGTGTTGAGGAACACAGTCCCTGTATGTCTAATTTACTCGCACAGTGGACGTGTTCAAAATCATTTCTTGAGACATACAGCATAGCTTCTTTGGTGGTCTGGCGTATCAGTAACATGCTTCAAAGGGGAATCAGAAAGAAAATAATTCTAACTCGAAAAACGACCTAACAAATGTATATTTAAATTCTGTTACATACACCTAATTATGCAGTTACTGTTTTGTACATACAGCGTTATCTTCTCTTATCTTACCTTCATGTAAAAATACCCGTGAAGGTCCGGGTTAGAATTGATCTTCAGAAACCCATGCTTGTCGTAAGAGGCGACTAACGGGATCGGGTGGTCAGGCTCGCTGGCTTGGTTGATACCTGTTATAGGTTCCCAGTTGCGCAGATCGATGCTCATGTTGTTGATCATTGGATTGTTAGGTCCAGACTCGATTATTTACAGACCGCCGCCATATAGCTGGAATATTGCTGAGTGCGGCGTAAAACTAAACTCACTCACTCATGTAAAATACTTTAATTTCAGTGGTCAATGACGCTGTAACAAGTTTCATTGTCACCCCTCCCAGGAGGGCGAAAACTGGAAAAAAGATTACCTGCTGCCACGGAAACCGCCAAACTCTCCACCGAGAACTTGTATTGCTAACAATCGTATGACGCATGCAGTGCACGGAGTTCGAAAACCGTTCGATCAGCTGTTTTTGAGTTCACTATGTACACATTTATTTTACCGACTTCCAGTGCTTTGTTTAAACTATTTTATACATTGTATCGTTTGCACGCTCAACTTAAACATAATCAACCATTTATATAGCAGTTTTAAGCTTGTCACAATACGTTTCACTGATAATATAAATCAAGTCGAGAGGCAGACGCCATTTTGTTTACATGTCCTATAGTCGGTAGCGAGCGTATCGATCTTCAAAATAGAATAAAATGATATTTTGTACATAATTTAACATGGCGGTAAAGAGATACATGTACGTTGTAAATATCTCCATCGGGTAATACGGTCTGATGTGCGCATCTTTGTAGCAGTGTACATCAGACCGTTTCACCCTCGAGAGAAGCATACAACTTATATTATTTGTTTGGCTGAACACTTAACTTGCCTTGGCATGTGTTTGTGACGGTGACACCGCGGCAGCAAACTCTCACATTTTGCGGACACTTAGCTTCATCCTCACTGTATGCTGAAACACAAGCGGATGGATGACACAGTCTCAACTGAACAATGCTACATTGTCCATTGCCTGTTCGAAAACATGTAAAATAAAACAGTCTGTTTCTGATAACAAATTGTGGGAATGCAGATCGATCTAGTTGGCGACATATAACACCCTGGATGTACGCTGTCGTACACTCTAAAGCACACACAAACAGTGAACGGTCAGGACGTACGTAACAGTAACGCATAAACATGAAGTGGTTTTGTCAGAAGGCTCTCTCTTTCACAGCCTTTGCGATACAATCGAGCATGCCCTGTTTTGCGTCAAGGAGCGTCATTCCACTCTTGCTCAAAATTTGTTTGATGAAGGATACAACATTCAAGGCCTCATTAAAGCTTTAAAATATTATTACTGTGAGGACATTTCGAAATTGAGTACATCAGTGACAAGAATGATATCGATGCAATTTTGTGTTTTGACTTGTACCATACGTTGTCCAAAGTAGGTGACCAATGGACTGGATTTTGCATATGTTTATGATGTGGGGCAGGATACGCTCACCTTTCGCGAACATCTGTTACCATCACTATTTCGTAATGATTAATAAGCACATGCTCTGTGGTCGTATCGCATGGTGACAATCAATGGATTGTCTTGTCTAAACTCTATTTGTTTACAAACAACATCGTACAGCTGTAATACTGTTGAAACAAATATATGCTCATGATATAGTCACAAGTGTACAATAGATTCTGCTTCTAGCAGAGATTTCATATGAATGTGGAAAGGGTTTTGTCGCGTTTATTCTTTGATCAGGGCTATTGTCATACAAACTGAAGTTCAAAACATACTTGACGTTATAAAACTATAAACGCGGCAATTTATCACATCAAAAATCAACCACACTGGTATTTAGCAATTAAGAAATATTCTAAGCAATTGCTACATACACATATAGCTCATATATACATAGCAAAATCATGAAAATATTGTTTTCAGCTTTGGGATGCGATCTATGTAGCATTAACCATATAGATAGAGCTGAACAGCCTTATTGTGGAGAAACGAACTAAAAAACAACGCCGGAATTAACCGTAGGGCATCCAGAGAGATGAATCAGGAAACAAATAGGTATATTGCTCGAACTTTCGGCTGCAACCGACAAACCGTCGTCTTTAGAACGGCTGAAACAAACCTGATGGAGGAGGCAAGGGTCACAACGCTGAAAAACAGAACTGAAGGACATATGGCCCCCGTAATAGGTTCCACATGACGTCACAATCATCAGCGACAGCATCAGGTGATCACATTAGCAGGACCACAGTGATGAGACGTTTACGACGGACAGGAATATGGGCCTACAAACCATTCCTTGGGATGGCACTGACACAGAAATATTGCATTAACCCACAGTGTTCGGCAAGAAGAACTGCTATGTTAATTCAGTCATGTCAAAAGTAGCGGAGGGGTATATTGGTGGAAAGGTGACCGGCAAGCCCAGACATGTCCAGGAAGGGCATCCTCTCGGAGGTGGTGGAATAATGCTTCGGGGAGATATTTCTAAGCAACAAAATAATCTGTTAGTCAGCATTCATGCCCAAGAATACAGGAGCAAGGCCTTACACCAGTGGTTGTCACCTTTTTGCACGAACCACCACTAATATCAATGGGGTCACTCTATCAGACGGTTCAGACTCCGACCACTAAAGACCGTACCACAGGGGCTTGTAACGCTAAAAACTGCCATCAAGGTATGTACTGTCACTAACGGGGTCTTAGCACTATATAAAAGGAAAGGGATGTAAAGAGGTCAACACACCAAGTTCGTTTCAGGGCGAATTCAACAATGCTCACTGTATTTATCCCATTTAAAGTATGCACACATTTCAAGCCAATAGATTTACCTACAAAATAAGTCATACAGCACAAAAATCGAAGCAGTACTTTGGGAGCTAGGGTCTTCGGAAGCTCGAAAAATCGTGATTTCTCGATTCCGAGCCAAAATCCCTGTTCAGAATTTGTAGTGGTTACTCACCCGTTTATTTGTTTATGCACCAAGGCATGCTGATCTGATGGCACCTGTCAGCGCGCTAGTTGCCATTCTTTCGGAGACACTTACACCTCACTGTCATAATGAGTTTACGTACATTTATTCATCGCAAACAGAATTGTGTCGTGCCCGTTCGCCATTGACGACCTTGGCCTTAACCTGCCCCGCACTGAAAAGAGTCAGCGATCTGATGGGACATATTTTATTTATAGCCAATGAGCTCCCTTGCCATTATGGTGAACACAGTATACCAGTATGCTATGATGAACACACCCGTATATGATATGGTAAACAGGATATAAGACATGGTTGCCGGTATATCATGGTGAAGGTCCCACAGTATGCTTGTCATGTATGCTGTATGTCTGAACACACGATTTATACCATGTATGATATGGCTTGAAAACACAGTGAGCATATTGAATCTGCCCTGAAATGAACATGGTGAAAACATCCCTTTCCCTTTATATACATAAGACCCCGTTAGTGGTACATATCATGCAGTGCGTTACACACCTGTGTATACACGTACGACATGGTGAAACACGTATACCTACATGATAAAGAACACGAAGATCACCCGTGACGTCATCCGTCACATACGGGTACCGGCCTATGAGCATGTTACAACATAGTTATGCCATTATATCATGGTGAACACACGTATACCAGTATGATATGGAGAACACATATATACCGTATGACATGGTGAAAACACATACATGCCGGTATATCATGGTGAACACATGTATACAGTATGATATGGTGAACACACGTATACCAGTATGATATGGAGAACACATATATACCGTATGACATGGTGAAAACACATACATGCCGGTATATCATGGTGAACACATGTATACCGTATATATGGTGAACACACGTATACCAGTATGCTATGGTGAACACACGTATACCAGTATGATATGGAGAACACATATATACCGTATGACATGGTGAAAACACATACATGCCGGTATATCATGGTGAACACACGTATACCAGTATGCTATGGTGAACACACACATATATTACCATGCTATGTGAACACACGTGTACCAGTATGCTATGGTGAACACACACATATATTACCATGCTATGTGAACACACGTGTACCAGTATGCTATGGTGAACACACGTATACCAGTATGGTATGGTGAACACACGAAAGCATGTATGCCATGGTGAACACACGTATACCAGTATGGTATGGTGAACACGCGTATACCAGTATGCTATGGTGAACACACGTATACCAGTATGGTATGGTGAACACACGTATGCCTGTATGCTATTGTGAACACATACCAGTATGCTATGGTGAACACACGCATACCAGTATGCCATGGTGAACACACGCATATACCGTATAGTATGCTATGGTGAACACACGTATACCAGTATGCTATGGTGAACACACACGTATACCAGTATGCTATGGTGAACACACGTATGCCAGTATGCTATGGTGAAACACGCGCCGCATAGCCAGTATGCTATGGTGAACACACGTACGCAAGCCAGTATGCTATGGTGAACACGCGTATACCAGTATGTATGCTGTGATGAACACACGCAAGCCAGTATGCTATGGTGAACACACGTAAGCCAGTATGCTATGGTGAACACACGTAAGCCAGTATGCTATGGTGAACACCCGTGTGTATGGTGAACATGTGTCCCTGTATGTTATGTAGCTGGTACAGGGTAATAACAAAAGCGATGTTATTAAGTGACCAAATGACAAACTGGGGAATCTAAATACTTAGTGTCACAGGTTTTAATCTTGAAGTGTTGAGGATATATATTGTATTGAGTGGTGGCCATGTGAGCAGGTTTCAGCTACCGTCTCCTCTATATTACATTACACGGTCGATAGAATGCCGTCTCGGTGTACAGACCAATCCAGACTACTTAAGTGACAATCCCCCAATCCACGGTAATACCGCTCGTACAGCGGGAGTTCACTCGATATGTGAGATTGCAGGTTAGAGTTGAGGCTCGAGATATAGGGAATCAACACCAAATCTAGCCCCTGGGGCAGCGTGTTCGATAACCCAACTAAGGTGATCCATCCCTATCATCAACTTCCCATCTCCAGTCAATAACAGCACGACAGGAAGGGGTGGTAACAAGTATCTGTCATAGACTTCGGTCACCTTGTCAGTACTGACCCAGTGTAACCTCCTACCGCGACCTATTACCCACATTAGCAGTATATGGGCACGTATTGTTAGTATGTTGTTTAGCGTGATGTGGTTGAAAGTCAATCTGTTGATTTCATAGCTCTGTAACGATCGTGTATGTGCCTTACTGAACGCGGGAAAATGTATACGTCCTTCCTTTAGGAAGCCACACAAAACAACGCACCACGAGGACCTATGAGACTCGCACAGATCGAAGACGCATACACCACGATACTACTCGCCACATCTCCCACAATGCTACACTAATGGACCAGAATGCTAACATGCAGTTGTCGGCACCACAAACAGGCATGTCACTTGTATATCACGCGCGGGGGCTATCTGTGAACAAGGCGAAGGATCACAAAAATCGATTTTACATAATCTACGTCAGGCAATAAATTCAACTTTGTCACTTAATCTGATGTAAGCGCTAAACTGAATAAGTGTCAGTCGATGTGTATTCAGTTATGCTTTCTACATCAATTTAATGCGACAACTGAATGGTATGTGTAATACAGTTTGAACATGGTAGTGTTGACATGCTGGTGAGGAATTGCATCACGGTGGTGCTAATGAGAGCCTTCAAGACATCGCCCAACAATAAAATCAATATCACGAGTGTTGCGTTACAACCATAATTATTCACTTTAGTGGTTATGATGAAGCCAGTTTAGGGAACCTGCATGCTCTCCTCCATCTCGGAGTCCTTCAGTAAGGAGCCAAAGGCCACTGACTCGCAACCTTCAATTACAACCACTGTCAACTGCAATGTCTTTGATCTATCTGACACAGCGTGTCAAGTTCTCCACGGTCATGTGGCTAGTTCTTGCTTCGTCTTCAGCTCTCATTAAGAGGAGTTGTTCACCACTGATGCAAGGATCTGCGAGCTACTCGTGTATATTGGAAAATCGTTGATCGGGAAATGTTCCCCATTAACATGTGTGTTTGAAAAATAAATCACATTACTCTTTGTGTGGAGGTATTCTGAGTTGGAAATGATTTATACCAGCCCCGTAGCAATATTTAATTGTAGATACTGGCATCGCACAAATCATGAAAATGAAATGAAATGTGCTCAAAGTTAGTCTGTGTCCCGGTGGTGAGTGAGTGAGTGAGTGAGTGAGTGAGTTCAGTACGGTATATCTGTTATTTGACGTCGTTAGAGGAAGGGGATGCAAGTGTGCGAGGTGTATAACGGTGGTAAAACCCAGGTGCACGGGTGGGTTGCTGAAACATAATGACGATGTCTGTTTTGATCGTCCAAATTGAAACAATAGGGATAAACAAATTCAAAGTGAAACCAGCAAATGACAAAACATGTTATACAGTTCATAGGTGTGCCATAACATTAACGTCGACTTACAAATCAACACAAACTACAGTAAAGTCACGTTAGAGATACTAATATTTAACTAGCAGTAACTGTGGTTAAGCCTTTACGGGATAACAGGGTGAAAATAAGATAGCCCCACACCTGATAGGCTTGAGGTAATATGGGGTGACAGAGACATACCCTTGCCCACATATATAATCTTAACACCATCTGGAATGTTCCCTATGATGCAGTATTAGTCATAACTGTCCTTGAACATTCCAAATTACATTTGACTCAAAACATCGACGATTTACTCAGAGTCTGTGTGTATGGTGTTTGGTTGGAGGCATTTGAGGGCATGGACAGCTCTCATCACAAATACATGCACAGGCAATTCGTGATTAAGCATTCACTTCAACAGACATGGAAACAGAATAGGGAACTGCATCGGTCATGATCACTTTGGTCACTGCTCCATCATAGATTCCTTACAATGTTGCATCACAGAGTACTTAACATGTCTGCAAACTTGAGAGCTTTATAGCCCTGACCGATGACTTTTTGATCGGAAAATCGTGCGACTCTTTGAAAACTTCGAAGAAAGAGTACGCCTTCTTCACTGACTGACTGAGTATGGTTTTACGCCGCTTTTAGCAGTCTTCCAGCGCTATCACGGCGGGGGACACCAGAAATGGGCTTCACACATTGTACCCATGTGGGGATTCGAACCCGGGCCTTCGGCGTGACGAGCGAACGCTTTAACCACTAGGCTACCCCACCGCCCCATACGCCTTCTTGTACCGCAAAAGTTGGTAAAAGCTAATCTGATGATACTTGATTCAGTGACGATAATCTGGTCAGTACCACCGAAAACACATAACCAACTACGCCTACGGCTTTGTCCATAACGTCATATCCGGTTTGGTAGACTAACAGTCTCAGTTTATTAACGTTTGAAACGTATATCAATTCAGTGATCTAATCATGTGTGCAAACTTCTGCACCAAGTGTCGCTCGCTTGAGGCTACGAAAGTGATCGGTGGAAAGTGATAGTTTGCTGGTTTAAATTAGTGTTATTCATTGTAATAATATGTTGGAGTTTAACGAAATGGCATGCAGCAATGGAATTCGTTGTATCGTACCACATGGCATGCCCAGAGAGAATACATAAAATCAAATACGGGAAAGTCATGAATGGAATGACATATTCGTGTGTACGTGATAAATAGAATTACTTATGCCAACTCAGATCTGGGGAATATTAAAAAAATATATCGTTACGGAATCGTTACATATAGACCGTATTTCCTTTCAGTGCCAAAGTTATTCATAGGGTGGAAATCTCCGAAGGACAAGCAGCATGTCTGTTTCCCGGGAGTAGATCTGAATGATGCATGTGTAGGGGTGTTAGCGACACTGACATTTATCTTGCCGCACACATAAATGTCGCTTTCTGATTGCCTGTGTGCTCTTCTATTATTTGCAATGTACCCCGCTTACAACTCATTTGGTAATTCGTAGTAGTAATTCTTTATCTCGAATAACATTGAATCACTTATGATGTACGGAAATTACCGATGTTTTGCGAATGCAAATCAATGTAAGGGAGATTACTCTCAATTGTTTTTTCTTGTCGTCTGGTACTCCATACTATGATCCAATACCCGTGTTTCAAACAGTTCAAAATTGAGGTGTTCGGTAAGATAAATACATTGTTCACTGGTCCCTCGGGGCCCATGGGTTGATGTACCCTCCATGTTTCTATATGTTAAACAAGATAAACAAACATCAACCCATGGGCCCCTCGAGACCAGTGAACAACTTATATTGCCGCACTGGATACAGCATTTCATCTACAAACCCGTAGTGATGGACATGTCAGACATTTTGTGGTAAAAAACACGTGCCCGTCGTGGTGGTGACAAATGTGCAAAGATAATCCGGAACTGTCCGCACAATGCCTACCTGCGGTATGTGTAAGTTAGTCTTGAGAAGGTCGTGGTTTAACATGATGTCAGATACAAATTACAGAAGACAAATGATTACATAGTGATGTCAGTGGGGACTTGGCGGTTGCTATAGGTTGCACCATGCTTTTGTAACCCGGACGTTCATTGGTCTGCAATTTTCTCGAAGCCGCTGTTTGAGTGGCTGGAGAAACATAACGACTACAGGGTAAAGCGGTGGGAGATAGGGAGACATTATGAACAGAACATGAATACATGATAATGATCAGTAATTGGATGTCACCAGTTGTTTTTCGCATCATTGAAGATTATGTATGACGAGGCCGGTACAACAGATCCTCTAACTGGTGTCTAGTAGCGTGTTGAAGTCTGTGGTTTGTGATAAAAGGACAATTGGTAAATAGAGAATAACCTATTACACGTTCGATCATCCTTCCCGAAAGAATTAATGCACCAGTCCTTGGGGCTGTTTCAACATTAATTCACTGGGTTACTGTACGCCAGTGGCTGGGGGGATGTTCTCGATGTGTCAGGGGTGCTAGAACTGCCTGGTTCCTGGTACTGTGGGAGAAGACAGAGAGTCGGGTACGAGACTTCAGGGCAAGCGGTTCAGTCAAATCTAATCAAACTGGGTGAGGACTGAAGTCGAACACGGACCAACTCAACGCATAGTGTAATCAGTGGAGTATTATATACTCATGTCCTCAGGAGTAGTCTCGGGATATGTATCTCACAACCTAGACATATTAGACAAATCTGAAATAAGTGTTATCAGTACTCGATCAATATGAACTGTAATTCCCACGAAAACAGTAGGAACGCCTACAAAAAAGACAGCAAATACATCGGTCGATAGCTAATTAGAGAACGTGGTAGAAGAAACCAATCTGCAAGTGATTACTGTGGCCTTGCTGTCCGGAGTCCGCTCCACTGACCATTGCTAGTGTAAAAAGGAGAAGATGATTACTTTCTTCTCCGCTCTGCAGCAGTTCCGTACTTGAAGACAGCCTCCCATTTTGTCTGTGTGGTTATGTGCAGGGCGTGTGGCGGTGACTTAATCGACATGCCGCAATCAGACATCATCGTGCGTCGATAGAGGGATAACTGAATTTTAATCGCATCTTACTGAGAGTGATGGCGACATTTTCATTGTTCGATAAGGGTCGTTAGCAAGAAATCTGCATTTCTTATAATTATTAACACATCTATGAAAGGTTTATTGACCAGAAGTTAGTGACGGCGTTAGAAGTTCAGCAGTGGAAATTGCTAAAACTAGTTTCCATGAATATGGCCTATTTGTTTATTAAGTCCTCAATAAAACAAGGCATAAAACGTAATGCTGCACCTCAGATGCCGATATCACTGGCAATTAATGACTTTCTCTTACACGATGTATCATGATATCTGTGTAACAGAGATATTCAATTATTTTTACAATCGACCACTTTTTTCTGCATATATTACACGTTCCACGCATGTTACTAAAGAATATAGTATGTGTTGATTGACAAATTTTGAAGCTGCAAATTAATTGGAAACTGGTCATGAAAGATCTCGACATGAAACCAACGAACAACGGAGACTGTGAGATAATTAACAATTGTATTCTAAACTTAATTAAATTTACAAATAACTACAAAATAATTACAATGGCAGTACAAACTAGAGTGGCAGTAAAATCCGCTGTCAATATCATATCAAATGCAGTGATTACAGCAATAAAGTCAGCGGCGATAATATTCACCTCCCTGCAACACTGTGCAAGTTTCCAAATTACTAAGCTGAGTACCCAGGGTGAGAAGGGATCTTAACACATATGCTTGTCTTTGTGCGATTTATGCATAATGTGATGGTTCTGAAACTGTCTATAACATTCCAGGATAGACTATGCTGGAACGGCCCATGCGGTTGTCGTACCTTGTACCCTCAGAAACTGTCCGTCTAAATATAGCACATGTCTGAAAATAGTGCATCACTGCACCCAACTGAATATTAAATGTTACAGTGTAGATCACCTGAAACAATGCTCCTGACTGAACACAAATACCACATAACAATATAGGTGATGTACAGTTGATAGATTAACGACGGAGACTGTCACGACTGTTACTAACAGGTAATCTCGATACTGGTTTTAGTTTACTACAGATACTGGAACTCTTGGTCGTCCGTGTTATACTGTGTGAGATACCGGTCTCTGGGTAGTCTGTATGTATACTGTGTGAGATACCGGTCTCTGGGTAGTCTGTATGTATACTGTGTGAGATACCGGTCTCTGGGTAGTCTGTATGTATACTGTGTGAGATACCGGTCTCTGGGTAGTCTGTATGTATACTGTGTGAGATACTGGGTAGTCTGTAGGTAGTCTGTATGTATACTGTGTGTGAGATACCGGGTAGTCTGGGTAGTCTGTATGTATACTGTGTGAGATACCGGTCTCTGGGTAGTCTGTATGTATACTGTGTGAGATACCGGTCTCTGGGTAGTCTGTATGTATACTGTGTGAGATACCGGTCTCTGGGTAGTCTGTATGTATACTGTGAGAGACCGTACCTGGGTAGTCTGTGGGTATAGTCTGATTGAGATATGTCTGTATGTATACTGTGTGAGATACCGGTCTCTGGGTAGTCTGTATGTATACTGAATGAGATACCGTATCTGTAGGTAGTCTGTACGTATACTGTGTGAGATACCGGTCTCTGGGTAGTCTGTATGTATACTGTGTGAGATACCGGTCTCTGGGTAGTCTGTATGTATACTGAATGAGATACCGTATCTGTAGGTAGTCTGTACGTATACTGTGTGAGATACCGGTCTCTGGGTAGTCTGTATGTATACTGTGTGAGATACCGGTCTCTGGGTAGTCTGTATGTATACTGTGTGAGATACCGGTCTCTGGGTAGTCTGTATGTATACTGTGTGAGATACCGGTCTCTGGGTAGTCTGTACGTATACTGAATGTGAGATACCGTATCTGGGTAGTCTGTATGTATACTGTGTGAGATACCGGTCTCTGGGTAGTCTGTATGTATACTGAATGAGATACCGTATCTGTAGGTAGTCTGTACGTATACTGTGTGAGATACCGGTCTCTGGGTAGTCTGTATGTATACTGAATGAGATACCGGTCTCTGGGTAGTCTGTATGTATACTGAATGAGATACCGTATCTGGGTAGTCTGTACGTATACTGTGTGAGATACCAGTCTCTGGGTAGTCTGTATGTATACTGTGTGAGATACCGGTCTCTGGGTAGTCTGTATGTATACTGAATGAGATACCGTATCTGTAGGTAGTCTGTACGTATACTGTGTGAGATACCGGTCTCTGGGTAGTCTGTATGTATACTGTGTGAGATACCGGTCTCTGGGTAGTCTGTATGTATATGTATATGTGTGAGATCTCTAGGTAGTCGGTATACTGTGTGAGATACCGGTCTCTGGGTAGTCTGTATGTATACTGTGTGAGATACCGGATCTTTGGGGAGTCTATGATTAAACTGTGTGAGATACCGGATCTCTTGTTAGTCTGTATGCATGTTGTGTGAGATGCACGCGCAATGGTATTGTTCCTATGGATGCGCCTGCGTGAAGCTTCTTTGAGGTTTGGATCGCTGCAGTGAATGGTACAGGACTGTTTCCAAATTCCCTGGTCCTTACATTGTTACTGTATCTATCATGTGCCCATTTTCACATGCCCATATTTTTCTGCGATTATTTGAATTATCAAACCACACACGGGAGAGATGGTCAATTTCTACAGTACCCGAATCAGATCATAAACGAACAGCATTTGATTATTTTCACATGGTTGGCAATTGGAAACAATCCAGGTGCACATTAATTGAAGGGTTCAAGGGAATGTTGGCATGAATAATTGATAACCATCTGGCTTTTCGTAAAAATATCGATAACTTGAATAATAGAGTGACGTCACTTGACGATTGTGGCTTCACACAACGCACAATTGACTATTTAACGACCGATGAAACAATTGATGATCTTGCAAGTAGGTTGACCCATGGCTGTTTCGATGTTTTTGTCAGAACAATACGAATATGGGTACAACAGACACATACATAAAACACTCTTGCGCTCTTTCATTCTCGACATTGGAAATACTCAACGCCATTTGTTATATCTGGAATTCACTTTCTCAGTGAGTACAGATTCTAGTACGCTTGTTAGGTTGAGTCCCATCCATTTAGAAATGACATTGTGTGTTCATAGGTTTCGGCTGTGGGAGCCGTACCAATTTACACTTGGCAGAGGGGTACACAAGACTCTCAGTTGTCTGACTGCCAGTTTTTGTGGAAGCCGCAGTCGCTGAATAGGCTAGCTCGCTAAGTAATACGTCATACAGGTACACATACGGACATTAGAACTATAGTAATACGTTATACAGGTACACCCACAGACAATAGAGTGAGTGAGTTTGGTTTTATGCCGCTTTTAGCAATATTCCAGCAAAAATCCAGTCCATTGCTCACCAGAAATGGGAACGTATGGTACAAGTCAAAACACAAACTTGCATCGACATCATTTTTGTCACTGATGCGCTAAATTTCGAAATGTCCTCCACAGTTATAATATTTTAAAGCTTTACTGAGGCCTTGAATGTTGTATCCTTGATCAAACAAATTCTGAGCAAGAGTGGTATGACGCTCCTTGGCGCAGAGCAGAGCATGCTCGATTGTATCGCAAAGGCTGTGAAAGAGAGAGCCTTCTGACAAAACCACTTCATGACTGACTGACTGAGTTTGGTTTTAGGCCGCCTTTAGCAATATTCCAGCAACATCACGGCGGGGGACACCAGAAATGGGCTTCACACATTGTACCCATGCTGGGAATCGAACCCGGGTCTTCGGCGTGACGAACAGACAATAGAACCGTAGTAATACGTTATACAGGTACATTTAGAGAGATGAAACCGTAGTTATACGTTATAGTCACACACAGAGAGAATAGAACCGTAGTAATACGTTATACAGGTACACCCGCAAAAAATAGCATTAGTACTGCAATCCTATTACAGTTTCAGGAACATATATGTCCCGTATTTATACTCCCGTGTAACGTATTCATCAAATCGTTCATTAAACCATTAATCAACGTTCTTAATCAGTGTGAGCAGGGGTTTATACATGTACCACTGTGTACGCAAGCAAATTTAAACATGGCTGCAATCTTTGACCTATATGATAAATGACATATAAACGCTTCTAAACTTTATTCAGTGAGTGAGATGACTTCTTCCGCACTTAGTTTGTAAAGAAAGACGTATAAGGGCAGTATTACCTGCGTGTGTTTTGACGGCTAGTGATTGTGACCACCTCTTAAAACACAACGCTAACTGTATCTGTAGGAATACGCAGTGAAGACATGACGATTCTGTAGGAATACGCAGTGAAGACATGACGATTCTGTAGGAATACGCAGTGAAGTCATGACGATTCTGTAGGAGTACGCAGTGAAGCCATGACGATTCTGTAGGAATACTCAGTGAAGCGATGACGATTCTGTAGAAATACGCAGTGTAGTCATGACGATACTGTAGGAATACGCAGTGAAGTCATGATGATTCTGTAGGAATACGCAGTGAAGTCATGATGATTCTGCAGGAATACGCAGTGAAGTCATGACGATTCTGTAGGAATACGCAGTGAAGTCATGACGATTCTGTAGGAATACTCAGTTAAGACATGGCGATGCAGTGTTCAATTCCAAATAAACGTGGTAAGTGCAAGCAGCGAGGATGGCTTGAGCTATGCATTATACAGTCAAACGCACATCTATCAAAACACTCAACTTCATTGTAAAGGTCTGTATAACAGGCAGCGCTGATGAAAGAGGTATCTTCTGGGAACACTTTGACCTAATATAGCTGTTCGAGTACATTGAGGGAAACTCTTGAGCAGTCGCCAGACTAGGCGTCGTGGTCACGATGGAATGAAATTGACTCCAACAGAGGTGCGAGTGAACCTGTCCGAAATGACTGTTAGTTTGAAAAATTGTTTCTATCTACTATTTGACAAACTGGTTTATATGAGACTAAGGCAACACTATATCATGTCCCCACTAGCATCGTCTCGGTACAATGTTTGGCACGGGAACTGTCCATCAGTAGTACAGAAATACATCATGGCGCAGAATTTAATTTCCATCTAGCGTGTCGCTTTAGTTGACTTTTCTCGATGAGTGTCATTCAAGTTGTAGATTAATTTTTACGTGAAAACTCCTCAGTATTTGGCTCTGCGCTGAGAATCTTTGATCTTTATGTATAATTACAGCTTTTGTTGGTGGAGGTTGCAGTCAGATTTGAACATTTCCTACATTACCAGTACTATAGAATCACTCAATCAGAACACAGAAGATGTTGTTGATCATCGTACTGTGTGCAGCTCCAGAACGTGCCACGAATTTCCAACTTTTAACCAATGAAAGGCCAATGTAGACATGATCAACAGACTGGGGATGTCTGGCGAGTATTGACGCCTAGTATTTACATCCACCGGTCACCCCGTGATCAAGATTGTAATTACAGTTGACGGTAGAGTGCTAGCACCCTAGGGGAGGCTTTAGATAAATATATGGCTCGACTTACTACTTGAATGTCAAGGACGGCGCTACGCCATTACTAATTTCATATTTAATTCATGTCAACAGTTACAAGCAGCATCTTCGATCAAAAGTTAGAATACTTCATCTCTCTATGGACAGAACTTGGATGCATTGACTAGAACCGATTTTTTTTCTATCAACTCACTTTCTTGGTTTACGGCTTTGAAGTCTTCCCAACGACACCTTTGAGGCGTCCACGTCAATTAATTTAATTCGAAAGTTTTCATATTGGTGTGTAATCGATAGCGTCATGTACACTGACATCAGAACCAGAAGTGCTTTGTAATCTGCTAATCTATTCCTAAAGTATTATGAAAGTAGGGAATTTTTTTATATGATGTGTATGAGCTCTTTTCGTCATAAATCTCATACTTCAACACAACCGTGGTTTTAATGGTTTTATTTCTCTTGCAGTTACCGACGTACGTGTAACCGTACCAGTACGGGATGTACAGTGGACCTAGCTGTAGACAGTTCGGGTGTGGAGTTGTAGGGCTGCTTGAATAATGCTGGCACAACGGGTCTTGTTTTGCTTGTGGCCACGTTTTCATTGTTGTGACAGGTAGTTTTACCAACAATTCTGTCAAACGAAAATAACGACCAGCATTTGTACAAGGACACATGATTAATGAGGTATTCCCGAGGTGATTTGAGTTGTAGAAATGACAACAATATCAAACAGATATCGATCTTTTTTCAACCGTTTTATCGGAACCTGAACAAGGTCATTCCTTTGGTCAGACATTGGAAAACATGACCTCGGTGTTTGAAGAACCCGTGCTTGACTTCAGCTGATTGATTCCCTTGTCGATGATGGTGTTAGCCTATGAACAGCTAATGTGCGTCTTCTGATTTAGATGAAGTGCTGGTCTGGCCCGTCCGTCTTCGGAAGCCTCCGGTCATCATCACGACCTCGGGTTTGGAGAGCAAAACGAATATGGACGTAATAGAGGGATTGTTGATGCGAATTTCAGTCTGGACCAGTGGAAGCTTCGTTCATTAACCGCAACAGACAGTGATGTTGCAGACAACAGGTTTTCAGACATGATTTGTGTCACTCATGCGTCATATTTGGAAATGTTCCACATGTTTTCCGTACAATTTTTTGAAAGCTTTGCTAAGCCGTTGAATAATGTAACCTTGATTTAAAAAATGTTGAGGAAGAGTTTTTTTCGATAATCCTTGAAATATGTGTAGAAAGAACGTGCACGTCTGTACCACAGTAGTTACGAAATGTTTGCATCAAAGGCCGGAGCAGCTGGAATGCTAAGCACCAATCTGTTATTGAACATTATCAGATAATCGGAGAAACTCGTTCGTCTATTGATTGTTTGTTGTTGATAAAATGATGATGATGATGATGATGATGATGAAGATGATGATGGTGGTGATCAGTGCTAACTAGAACCCTTTTTATTAGCATGATGATTCATATCCCAGTTGCATGGCTCTTCATGCCCCGCCCGCCAGCATCAACACGTACAAGTAATACTCATATATATTTCATACGAACATGTCATTACACGTTATTTGACAAACTGTCTATATAGAAATATATATTAAGTACCAGCATATTGCAGATTTGAAGCAAATAGGTCTCCACAGACTTTCTCTGTAGCCGTACTTACAGCATGTCTACAATCTGCTGAAGCGGCATGGCTAGACGTGCCAATACCCCCATCTCGTCAAGCTGGACTGTCCCTAGTGAGACTGCTATTATCGAAGAAGTGACTCTCTTTAAGTACCATCATTGCAACAGACCGAAGTAAAATGAACCGAGATATATTTATTCGATACCTTAACCCTTACGTTGCTAGCTGGTTACAAACCCAACTTAGCAGGTCGAGTCGTTCCGGAAAATCTTTCACTAAAAGATACAACAACCAATACCATACCACATGAACTCTCTGCCATAAGCAGAGTCGATTATACGAATCAAACAATTATCATGAGCATGATACCTATCAATAGTGATGACACAAGGAAATGGTGAGTGTATTTTGCCCACCTGGGGCATCTGTCACAAACACATGCAGACTCAAGGCAATGTCAACATAGGGAATATAGATGGACATCAATCTGGGCACTGGTACGTCAAATTTGGGTATGTCCTCATTTAGGAGATAAACGTACTGTGTCTGAAAATTAAATGAATATTGGACCTAATTCATAGTCTCTAAATTTCATTTGAAACCGAAGCGTTGCTTAAGCCTCTGAATAAGAATCTTTTGACACACGTATATCACTTCAAAACAGCATGCTCGAGTGTACCTGACAGTTAGGCTTGCTCGATATGAAGATACAATTAACTTTTGAAAAGCTGAATACATCCCTCTTGTCATAGAGACTTGTGGAGAGTGTCCTGTCAATCAATTATTTATGCATAGATCTAACTATGAAACAGATGAGGCATCACTGGTCTCGTGTATCTGAAGGTTAGGTGGGCAGATCAGCGGAAGGGACTTAGCTGTTTGGTGATAGAGACATCATCGATATACATAAGGCTTCGGTTAAACTTCTTGTCAAAAGTATTTTGTTTTGAAATTGCAAGTTGAACTTCCGAATCCATGTACATGCATATACAGAGAGCATGGCATATGTGTTGTTTGAAGTTTCAGGAGTCCATCCTGCTGTTACATTCCTCACTCTGATTTGTGCTAACAGATACCTTGAGCTGA